AGAGAGAGAGAGAGAGAGAGAGAGAGAGAGAGAGAGAGAGAGAGACATAAAAATTGTAGAGTGTTCACTTCAGCAGCATTGGAACGATACAGAAGATTGGTTTGGTCCCCGAGCAAGGATGACACATCAATTTGTGAAGTGTTCCATATTTTTTTAAAAAAATCATATTAAACTTTTCAGTTAAAATCAGTTAAAAAGAATTTTATTTTGAATAGCTTTTGAAAATGTTCCTTTAACCCTTCAAAATAGTCATGTGGAGTATTGAAACAAGCAGGGAGAAAACATCATATTGGATTTTACTTTTTTTTTTAACCTTAAATTTTGGATTTTTGGCAAGGAAAAAACATTTGTTTTAATCAAATGATATATGTTGACTAAATGAAATTTCCTGAGCTGACATTTTTATTCTCCAAAGTGGAAATAAAAGACATTTCATTCTAATTTTCACTCTAATTTCATAATAATTATTGTAGTGGGTGAGAGTCTTTGTTAGTATTGTTAATTTATATGGTAAATTAAGTTTACTCATTAGCAGTAATTTAAAATTATGACAATATTACAACCTTTCACAAGTGACCTGTTGAAGACATCTGGATTTCAGGACTCCCAGAATCAACACAAAATGTTTCCAACCCCCAAAGAGCCCCAAACCAAGATTTTGCCAGGATAAGGATGGTTCCCTGAATATAACTGGACACCCACAGTAGAAAGGAATTTGACTACTCCTGAAGGGAAAACGGAGGCACGGGGCATACTCAGAAGTACTGTGGGAAGCCTTCTATCCAACGGAATATGCCGCAAGGAATGTACACGAAATCTCCGACAGCCTTTCATCAAAGTGTTTGGGCACACCACAGTTTCTGGTCTCCTTTGATTAGAAAAGCTGTAAATACTTATCTATACTCTCGGTTGTTCTCCTTTCCCCATCTTGGTTTCTGAACTGTCAAAGATCCTTCTTACTCACATAACCAGCAGAAATAAGTGTATGATAATAGAGATCAGACTATAGAACTGCTATTCTGCTGGAGATCCGCAAAACTAATTTCTAGAGAGAAACACATGAAAACACACCTGGCTGGACTTTGTCTCTGAAGGAGCCAAAATGCTTTCAGATGCAGGAACTAGTACCAGACACGTTGACAAAAGGCCAATAGAAAGGAAATGATACAGAAGCGAAGGCAGGGAGAGCCATTTTAAAACTACACAGTAGCCAACATTAGTGTAATATTGACATGAACCAGCTATGAGAGCTCTTGTGTGGGGAGACCAGCTGAGGCTCCTTGTCGGCGGAAAACCAACAATACTGCTTACAGAGGGGTTCACTCCCCTCTCCAGCTCTTTGCTTAACATCACCTGACCATTCTCATCTGACCATTCTGTTTCTAACTGAAACTTGCCCCTATCTCCTAGCACTTGCTACCACCCCCATCACTGCTCTGTTTCTCTCCATAGCACTGGTTTCTCTCCAATTCAGTGTGCAACGTATTTATTTTGCATATTGTCTCCCCTCCGCCCACTAGGATGTAAAATTCATGAGGGCAGGGATTTTTATCTGATTGCTCTGCAGAAGTCTCAGCACCTAGAACTATGCCTGGTACATAGTAGACACATTTTTTTTTTCAAATGGACTGAACAAATGAGGTATGACATGGGAACAGACTCGGTCCCAGTAGCAGAAAAGAGCAGCACTTGACTTCAGACATTACCTGCCTTCCTAAGCGATAGTCTAATGCTTAGCAACATAAGCCATGATCCAGAGGGTAAATATTTAGTGACGTATTTCAACACACTCACAAATGCAGGAAAAGAAATTGAGAACTGTTGAAGACACATAGGCATGGA